GGGGAGGGGTTTCTGAAGCATGCTGCAACTGCTATAGCAAGTACTAGCCAAGTATTTGAATGTTGAGCAGCAAACTCATTGGCTGCTGATGTGAAAAGAAACCAATCAGCTGCGCCATGTGAATAATGATGTCATTATGTCCGATTGAGTTTGAACCTATCGGCTTGCACCATCTAGAGTCTAGAGTTTCATGACAGAACTTATTTCAGAATAAAATGACCCAGTACCTTGACATTATGGAGGTAAATCTCCAGGAAGTTGTTTTATTAAATTTGCTTTAGAAAATGTACACACATTAAACAATCAACATGCACAGCTTTACTATACACAATCCAATTCTTTTCAATATGAAAACGGTATTCAGCTCCAGGTCATCATCTCACAGAGATGTATTCAATAAACAATGTATTAATACAGAAATATCAAAACATTTGGTCAAGTGTTGTTACATGTATTCATATGGAAGGTGGATCTATTTGAATCTAACACACGAAAACACAAGGTAATCTTGATCGCGTCGACATTTCAACCAAAGAGGAACAAAATATCATCTTGCATTCCACTACATAATCTTTCCACAAATCAATCTGTGACAGCCATAATCAAATTACTTTACTTTTAAAGGACAACACTTGACCTTTAACAAAAAGCCATTACAAGTTGATGTCATAAAACTGAAACAACAAAACAATACTTACAAAATACAAAACACTTTTATTTTCACCTTTTTCAGAAGCAATCACATAAACCAATGATTTTTTTTGTTTGTTTTTGTTTCTTACATTTATAATAAGCACTTAAGGATCTCAGATGAAGTACTCTGAAGCAACTCCAGAGAAAATATGAATAATATTCACAAAATGGGCTGACAATCCAGAACAAAATACACAAGTCCCAACAGGCACCTAAATGTCAGCAGCCATTATCAAAGGTTAAATCAAAATCACGCAGCAGCCTTCATCCCGGACACAAAAACATCCAAGAGCTTCAACAGAGTTTGATGTGACATCTATATTGTACGGCAAGTCTGTAGGGACAATGCGACTTTTCTCACTCAGAAAGCATTTTCATTTACTCTCACTTCTGACTGCTTCCTATTTGACCTTACAATTCAAAACCAAGGCCGAGTGTGCGGGTGGCCTTGAACAACACCCTGGAGTCTCCTCAAATGTGCGTAAGTGAGAGTCGTACAAAGGCCCTTTGAGTGCGGTCATCCTAAAATGACACAGAAAGGTGGCCACGTCCCTTTCATGAGGAGAAACAAAAGAACGAAAAGCAAAGCTGCTCCTCGTCAGCTGTCTGGACAGTCCTGATACAGCTCGCCATGCTGTTCATGTCACATCCATCTTGTCTTCGCCTCTGCTAATAACCATTATTCCCTTGCAGATTTGGTAAAAAGCCACTGCAGGGCGCACTGTAGTTTATTAGCGCAGTTTAATGGCTTCTACAGCATGGTAAGGATCAGTCAAACCATGTGCTTTCAGGTCTGGGCTCTCAATTTTTCTGCGTTCTTATGTTTATATCTTTCGAAAGCAATGTTTTAGGCCATCTTTTATTTTAGGATAGCAATACACAAGCATAATAATTCAAGGAATAGTTCACCTAAAAATGCATGGCTTCTACAGCATGGTAAGGATCAGTCAAACCATGTGCTTTCAGGTCTGGAAATCCAAGAAGTAGATGAGTTTGTTTCTTCATCAAATTCAGCATTAAATCACTTGCTCACCAATGGATCCTCTGCAGTGAATGGGTGCCGTCAGAATGAGAGTCCAAACAGCTGATAAAAACACAATAATTGATAGACTGGAGTTGTGTGGATTACTTGTGGATTATTGTGGTTTTCATCAGCTGTTTGGACTCTCTTTCTGACGGCACCCATTCACTGCAGAGCATCCATTGGTGAGAAAGTGATGTAATGCTAAATTTCTCCAAATCTGTTACCTCAAAGAAACAAACTCATATACGTTTTGGATGGTGTGAGTAAATGTTCAGCAATTTTTCATTTTTGGGTGAACTATTCCTTTAATTACCAGGACTGAAAGAGTCTAAAGCAATTTGAGCGCTAGTGTGTAAGCAGTTTCTTGCCCCGAACTTTCCTAATTGGATGGTGTGAGTAAATGTTCAGCAATTTTTCATTTTTGGGTGAACTATTCCTTTAATTACCAGGACTGAAAGAGTCTAAAGCAATTTGAGCGCTAGTGTGTAAGCAGTTTCTTGCCCCGAACTTTCCTAAACACATCTGATTGGCCTAGAATCTGCGCCGCAGTCCAGCACAGCGAGAAAGTGACAAATAAAACACAAACTATTTATCTGAGGTTTGCTAAACAAGCTTCGAATACATAAAGTACCAGAACTTTTAACAGTCACAGAAGAACAAGTCACAATGTACATGGCCAAAAACAAAAAACACAAGTGACTTTTAGCAACCATTCAGCATTTCTGGTTTAAGATACAGCAGACGTGTGGAGTATCCAGCGCTGCCCACCCTTTTAAAACGAATAACAACTAGGGATGCGCTGATATCTGTACTATCTGTACTAAAAGCAACGGCCAATACAACACTGTTTGCATACTCTGCTGTGTGAAGAAACACCGGCAGCAGACTGAATATGCTTGTTCAGATCTAACAGTGTGCAGATAAACCAAGGGCAAAGAAAATAACACTAGCTGACACCTAATTTGTTGTTATATATAATAAAACAAGTTAAATCAGGTCAAGAATGTATTCTGAGTCTATGCTGTAGTGCTTAACAGATTATTAATACATTAAACCTGTCCTATCAGGCTCACTTTGCTGTATCTGAAAATTGTAACGCTATTAAAAACACTGATATCATGTACAGGAGACTCATTTTCAGTTTTCCAAAACCCAAAAAGACAAAAATGTATAATACTTGAGTCATCCCTTGTGAAAAAGAAGTACACTTGTATGTATGCTTTTAAGAAGACTACTTATTATGGAAATAATATACTTTAAAATAAATTCTTAATCACTTGTATTGTCTTTGAAATACGGTAAAAGTGTACTGCTGAATAGAATGTACTGATAAGCATCTATGGTAAACTAAAAAATGCTTTAATGTCAGTTCTATTGAAACTTGTTTGTCATTTATCGAAATATATTTGTAATTACACATTTGCAATGAAGCAATTCAGTATAAATCTATTAACTGTGTAATCTTAACACACTACCGTTAAAATTGTAATCACGTTGTTTGCATGTGCTTTAATGTGTCAACAAATCAAAATAAGTGTACTTCTTTGAAGTATGACAAAATATCATTTAAACAGTGATTAAAAATGTACTTTATAGTTAAACAGTCATTAAAAGGGAATAGACTAAAGTGGCCTTTATTCATTAATATTATCTGCAAGTACTTTTTTAAGATTGAAAGTACACTACAAGTGCAAACTGAATACAATTAAGAACATTTCTTTTTCACAAGGGATAATTAAGCGATACTAATAAAAAAAGGTCATTAAAATGTGGCTTTAGCACTCCAGAATTTCTGTTAGTGAGGAAAGAAAATCTAACATCTCTCCTATTGTAATACTGTAATAATTGGTTGCTCATCTCAAAATTACATTTTGACCCACCTATTACTAAAACAGTGCATTTTTGATCATCAGAAATTATTAAATTATTCTTTATTAAACCAAATCATTACGACTGCATTAAGTGTCTAAATGCTTTATCAAATTCTAAACTAAGAATATCTCCAGCATATTTATAAAAGTCTAATAAGTTCCCTCATGTCACTATCATATGATATCATTACTTTATCGTTGTGAGTGTACCCAGATTTACCTATAACCTCTCCTAGTGTTAACGCAGTTCAAATAGTGTAGCTCTTGTTGTCACAAAACCTGTGAATGCACTGTAGCACTTTGACAATCATGAATACTAGAGACTTGTAGCTGCAACATGGTGCCTGGAGCAAACAAATACAAGCCATGTGTGTGCTAAAACATAGATAAGGCACAGAGACAACTCTTGAACAAATAACTGAACTAATAAGCAAAGGCTAAATGTTAATTAATGATGTGATTACAGAACAATCACAAGCATAACAAACAGCTTAAAGGGATCATTCACACAAAATATGAGCCTTCTGTCATTATGTACTCACCCTCATGTTGTTCCAAATGTCTTACTTTTTTCTTTAAAACACAAAAGGTGAATTTTTTTGGCTTGCTTCTCACATAAAATTCTCATATGAATTTGTAGTGGAGTTGTATGGACCACATTTATGATATTTTTATAGCTCTTTCATGACCTCAAAAATTTAAATTAGCTGGAAATGTACTCATCCTGAGGTCATCCAAGATGTAGATGAGTTTGTTTTTTCCTCAGAACAGATTTGGAGAAATTTAGCATTACATCACTTGCTCACCAGTGGATCCTCTGCAGTGAATGGGTGCCGTCAGAATGAGAGTCCAAACAGCTGATAAAAACATCACAATAATCCACAACTAATCCAAATGACTCCAGTTCATCAGTTAATGTTGTGTGAAGAGCTGAGTGTTCGTAATAAATCCATCTGTAAGATGTTTTTAACATCTTCCTCTATCTATAATATTGCTTTCTCCAGTGAAAATGTTGTCTGGTCTGAATCAGGAAAGAAATATGCACAGATAAAGCAATGTTGAAAAGCAAAAAACAGTTAAAATGAGTTCTAAACAAATATGTAGTGTTGATTTTGATGCGAGAGGACAACAGGGCATGGACTTTTTCACTGTACGGTTTTGTGTTCTGTATAGATTTTGGCAAGTGATGGTGAAAAAGTTAAAATGCAATGATGGATTTGTTTCTTACAAACAAGTGGTTTTTCAGTTTACATGATGGACTGGAGTGGTGTGGATTACTTTTGGATTATTGTGATATCAGCTGTTTGGATTCTCATTCTGACGGCACCCATTCACTGCAGAGGATCTAAATTTCTCCAAACCTGTTTTGATTAAGAAACAAACTCATCTACATCTTAGATGACCTGTAAGTGAATTTTCATTTTTGAGTGAACTATTACTTTAAAAGGCCTCTCTCTCCATTCATGGGAACATTCTTTAAAATCGCACTTTGTGTCCCACACATGACAACAACATGAGGGTGTGTAAATGATTTTTGGGTGAACTAATCCTTCAATTAATGATATGATAACTACAAAACAATCATAAGTTTAACAAACAGTAGCTTAGCAAGAAATAAAAGGATGTTAACTACTTTGGCATGTACATGGAAGTAAGGCATTTGTTCCGACGGATGATCAATGAGAAGATGAAATCTTAGTGCAGTAACATGGCTCATCCCTCCTCATACACCAATATGCTTCAAAAACCTTCGGTTGAAACCTTGTTAGGGTCTCGGATCACTTGCAAAGACACAATGATACACAGTACATAACACATGCACATGAAATCTGACCACCGTGACGCTGACGTTTTCCCGTTACGCTCCTTGAAGGCCTCGCTGGGCATTGCCTCAGATAACTATGGAGAGATAGATCGATAATCTCTCTTCAAAAGTGTTTTGGTGCACCTCTCCAACGATTCCACGGCGAGGAAGAGTGCAGGCAATCAAACCGGTCAGAGGATGTTCGATCCTTCGGACCGTTAACACAAAGCCGGTCGCAGTGTTGATAACGCGATGATAGAAAGCAGGGAGACTGGGATGGTGTTGGGTCGCCAGGCTCTGGACCCTCGTACACTCATACCTGGAACATGGAAAACAGGACTTAAAGGCGCTGAAGCTTATTAACTTGTAATTGATGAATAAAAATAGACTGGGAGTAATATAAGAGCAATAAAGGAAGGCATCGTTGGGAATTGAAAGATGAAATTATAGCTTTATCAGTGTTTAGCTCTACATCTGGTGTTGGACAGTCTTGTGCTCTAAGCAGATTTGCATAGACTTCCAGTAGACGTTCACTGTGCAGTTATTCCAGTTTAAATGACTAAGTAATTAATGGTAAAGCAGGTTAGAAAACCTTGCTATTGGCACAGCTAATTTCCTACATTAAACAACTGAAAACAACATTACATTGAGTAATCACTGAGATTTAAATGAGCGTTATGACAGCAAAGTAATTCTTTGAAAAAAAAAAATAGAATAGTTTAATTCAAAAATGAAAAGTTGCTGAATATTTACTCACTATAATACACTGTAAAAAAGTCCCGTTGAAAGATGAGTTTGTTTCTTCACCTGAACAGATTTGGAAAAATTTAGCATTGCATCACTTGCTCACCATTGGATCCTCTGCAGTGAATGGGTGCCGTCAGAATGAGAGCCCAAACATCTGATAAAAACCACAATAATCCACAAGTAACCCACGCTACTCCAGTCCATTAATTAAAGACTTGTGAAGAGAAACGCTTTGTGTTTGTAATAAACAAAGCCATCATTAATGAGTTTTTAATTTCAAACCGTTGCTTCTGGCTAAAATACGATTCCTTTATCCATAATATTGCTTTCTCCAGTGAAACAGTTGTCTAGTCTGAATCAGAAGAGAAATATGCACAGGATCAAACACCATTTACAAGCAAAAACAGTCCAAAACAGACGATTGTGGATTAGTTGTGGATTATTGTGATGTTTTTATCAGCTGTTTGGACACTCAACCTGACGGCACCCATTCACTGCAGAGGATCCACTGGTGAGCAAGTGATATAATGCTACATTTCTCCAAATCTGTTCCAATGAAGAAACAAGCTCATCTACATCTTGGATGTCCTGAGGGTACATTTTCAGTTTTTGGGTGAACACAACTGTGCACAACTGTTCATAAGCTTGTGGTCTATAAAATTCTTTAATCTAGGAAGTATCTTATGCTCAACAATTATTTATTTAATCAAAATTAGAGTAAAAACAGTTGCATTTTCACTGAGGTCCAGCAGATGCTCACTGAGCAGTTTTCCCCAGTTTAAATGACTAACCAATTAATACTAAAGCAGGTTGGAAAAACTTGCTATTGGCACAGCTAATAATTTCCAACATTAACAAAGGAAAAGAGTCAGAGCTTTTTCTTGAAAACGAGACATTGCAGGCCATTAGATGAAAAATGTGAACAATAAGCCACAGAGAACAGTTGTCCCTTGCAGTTGCTTTAGCCTGTGACGTTGTATCCATGGGGGAGCGGAGACCAACGGGCAGAGATAGATGGCGAGAGCTTGGGCTAGTTAATAAAGATCAGACTGCTTAGCCCAGTGGAGAATAAAAGGTGTACAAGGAGGACACATCAAATCAGTGAGAACTCATTTAGAGAAGCGCATTAAACTCTGTGGGCTGCAGTAAGAGAGCGTCTACGCAGCAAACTGCACCTGCGCTCTTCACTCAGGGGAACAGGAGGAGAACATTATGAGATCAACTGTGCATTGTTTATTTTATAGGGGCCTGTGTGTTTAATATCCCTTTGGCATTGAATATTTATCTTTTACATCACGGTCTTTGAAAGAGGAGGGCAGTGGATGTGCTTTGCACACGCCTGCAGGTCACCTACGGAAATGTAATATTATGTATGCAGACGTGAAATAAATTAGCCGAATATAAACAACTGATAAAATCGAATTCATAAATCAAAATTTTTCTAAAGTAACAATGTCCAACAGAAACACCTGTTGTAGTTTTTGAGTGAAACAGGATATTTGATTAGAAAAATGTGCGGCAGGACTTAATCAGGAATTGATTGGATGGTGAAAAGATGTTACATTCCAAATATTTCGCTATTGGTAAACGTTATCCAATAGCCTATGCAGTCTAAGTGAAGTCAGCAAAAAATTAAAGTTGTTTGAAAGGTGGAGCACATTATAACATTTCCCCTATTGTTAAAATTAGATTTAAGTGAGCATTAAATAACAGCAAAATTAATCTTTAAAAATAAAAAATAAACCTTGGTAAATAAACAGCCATTTTTCATATTGTACATTTTAATGTCGCGTTAAGTAAATTCCCTTTTAGCATTTTTAGAATTGCAATATCAGTTATTATTTTATTTGTGGTGCATCTGTAATTATATGGTACATGGTAACCTGGAAACGGTCTAAATGTAACTGAAACATGAATTTACACTACTGTTTAAAAGTTTGGGGTAAGTAATTTTTTTCTTTTTATGTTTTTGAAAGATGTCTCTTATGCTCAACAAGGCTGCATTTATTTGGTCAAAAATACAGTAAAAACAGTAATATTGTTAAATATTATTACAATTTAAAATAACCATTTCCTACTGTAATATATTTTAAAATGTAATTTATTCCTGTAATTCAAAGCTGAATTTTTCAGAAATCACTGTAATAAACTGATCTGCTGAAATATTTCTTAGAAAGAAGAAATATTTATTCTTATTATCAATGTTGTTGTCAAACAACTCTCTGAAGATTTTAGCATGGTAATGGATATGACAGTGTTAATGTATTTGGTCTTGGCGGAATAGATCTGCTACGCTGCTGCTGCTGTTGGTTATTGCTGTAGTTGTAGATGATTGCTGCTGCTGCTGCAAGCAAGTACAGGAACTTGCTACTGCCAATGTATACGGCGATACGGTGCTGTGAGTATTTAAGACATACTGCTGCTGCACAAATAGCATATAAAATAACCCGTAGCAGATCTATACAGGTGGAGCTGGGGAAGGAGGAGGGTTTCAGAGGAACTCTGAATGCGCGCTGCGAACTGCTCTAGTGAATACTAACCAACCATTTAAATGTAAAGCTGCAAGCTCATTGGCTGCGTATGCAACATGAACCAGTCAGCTTGTGCCAAGTAGATTAATGCTGTGTATGTCATCAGTTACGTTAAGACCCATCAGCCTGCGCCATCTAGAGTTTCATGAAAGAACTAGGCATTTGTGCTGCTTAATTATTTTGTGGAAACTATGATCATTTTTTGTTTCAGGATATTTTGATGAACAATGTTCAAACGATTTATTTGAATTTGTATTATTATTCCTTGCTAAATTAAAGTACACATTATTATTATTGAAAAGCGAGTTTTTTGGGCAGTGTAGAGTAGGGCTGTGTATCACCAGCAAAGTCACGATACGATACATATCACGATACAGAGGCCACGATACGATACATATCACGATACCGGACTGCATTGAATTTCACCTCAGAACAGTTTAGTAAAACAGCTGTTTATTAAACACTGCATACTATAGTGTAATTTTTCAACAAGGAGCTGGAAACATCATTGTTTCTAAAGGAATTAAAGCCACAGCTTCACTGTTAATAGAGAAACGCGGCAAAACGGTGGTAATTCATACATACACAGCCTCTCTCTCTCTCATAAATGAACACTTGATGAATTACACTTTTCTGAGAATAGAATATTGAAGTGGAGATCGCTAAACTGCAAGCTTACCAGTGTTTTCAGAAAGCAAGCACGTTTATCCACAGTGGAGAGAGAGAGCGTACACAGGGTTGCCAGGTTGACAAAGATAAGTAGCACGCTTAGCACGCTCTGTTTTGGGGATTACGTCTCTTTATATCAGGTAACCTCGGTTGTGTTCCTCTGCGGCCAGATTAAACCTTGTTGTAGCCTATATATTATGCTCTATTCATTATTTTTTAGAAACCTTGCACTTTTCTACTCCGTTTTAAACATTGTTCTTGTATTCAAATTAAGTGCGGTCCACTGCTGCACATGTGCCACAATATCGATACAGGGACAGCTGTATCGATACTCGTATCGTCAAATCTCTGTGACAATACATCGTCGTATTGATGTAACGAACACAGCATAATGTAGAGTAGGGCTTGTTCTCCGATCACAAATGCAGACATGGTTTTATGTTTATGAGGCGCGATGCAACGCAATGCGTAAAAAGACAGTATAAGTCATTATAATCCATAATTGTTTTTTTAACCTTAAACCGCATAAACACATTTTATTACACCAAATACACAAAATAATGTTCTTTTTAGCAGCATCATATGACCCCTTTAAACGATTTTAATCAAAGTGTATTGGTAATGAAAATATGATGAGAAAAAATAACAGTGCAAGATATTTACAATGTTTTTTTCCCCAAGAAGAAAAAATTAGGAAAAAAAAAGATTGTTTCATCTAATCCACTGACAGTAAATAGAGCTCGCAGAAGCTGAATGAACACTGGTAAACTACAGCCCTTTGCTAGTGGGTTTATTAACCCAAACGCATCCTATACACATATTAGATTCAGACATATACATAACATACACTACCATTTAATAGTTTAGGATTAGTAAGATTTTTAAAAGAAATTAATACAGTTGATAACAGTTATCTAGTAGTGGAGTAACAGCACACAAACATGACGGTTCGGTATGTGCCACATGTTTTGACGTCACGGTTCGGTATGGTTTCGGTACAGCAGCACGAAAAAAACTAAATATAAAATTAAACAGTGTTTTTTTTAATTAAACAGTGGTTTACTGAACAAATTGCTCTTAAATAAAATAAATACAATTTAAATAAATTAAATTGTAATTAAAAGTTTCTTAAGGATAAAAATCAACCCCTCAGCTTATGTTCTAAATGATAAGGAACTCTTTTACATTACTATAAGGCTACAATTACCAACAGGGCCCAAACTTCAATTGAATTATTTTTATTTTAATGATCTATTTATTTTTTTAAAATATAATAATCAACACTCAACTTAAAAAAAAGTTTTATGCAAAAATGTAAATTGCACATAATGCAGTTTTTTATTTAATTTCTAAATTATAACATTTCTATTTGTTGTTTAAATATATTCATTTACACAGTGGCTGTGATAACTCGTTTCATAACAGATTTATTTAAACATACATTAAATAATTAAGACATTACTAACAGGTACAGTAAAATATAATGAGTATATAGTCTAATATTTCATGAAATGCTCTTCTCTGCACTTCATTTCTCTAGCGAACTAATGAGCTGTGGACACTGATGACTTGCCTGAGGTAAATGAAATGCTACATGACATTTTAGTAGTAAAGAGGAAGAGATGATCACGCTCACTCACGCTCCGCGCTGCTGTTTGAACTGAGATGTTTAAACAGCGATCTGTCGCGCCACATCAAACAGCGTCAAAAAGACATTTATTGTTTGAATTTCCAGAAAGCAATTAACATAATTTGAAAGATTAGACTTTGTTTCTTATCAAAAGTATCAGTACTGAATATAAAACCGAATGATTCCAATGTAGTTCCACTCATGCCGTGGTTAAAACAATGCTGTAGCCTATTTGTTCAGTACACATGCGTACCAAACCGAAAGACCCGTACCGAAAATTTTCTGTACGAATATGTGTACCGTTACACCCATATTATCTAGTGATAATATTTTACTATATTACTATTTTTACTGTCTTTTTTTATAAACCTGAATGACCCCAAACTTTTGAATGTCAGTGTAAAAATAAAGTTATGAACTGTATTTGATTAATTGTTTCACATGCATTTGTTAAATGTTGGTATGTTTAATTTAATTTATAAAATGTTTGATTGTTTGCTGTAATTTTGTTCTCTCTCAAGTAAAATGTAATTTTCATAGACTAAAATTTGATCAAATTAAAATAGCTTAAATTAATGACTATTACATGGCAAAAAGATTATTAAAATAAGAAATTTTCTGATTTGACCTTTAGTTAAAAACTGTGTATAAATAACACCGTTGGTGACTCACCTGCATCTTCAGTTCTTGTTTTAAGAGAAGCAGGACTTGGTTCCCCCACACCGACGCTGTTTCTGGCCAGCACTCTGAACTCATACTCCACCCATGCGTTCAGATCCACCACCGTTGCTGTCAAGGTGTTCCCATCAATCACCTCCGGGACTGTGAGCAAACAGGAAAGCCACGGTTTAACCGAAAATACCTGGATTACACGGCCGCGCCATGAAAGTCAACAACAGGAGCCCAATTTTGAGCCAATGTTTACAGTAAGCCAGAAATGTCACAAAACATTAAAAAAAATGTTCTATTCCACATCTCTGTCTGGGTGGGATGTTGTTCGAATTAATTCGGATTCGAGTGGCAGGGCAAGAGACCAGATTAAGTCATTTTGCTTTAGTACTTAGAGGCCCTTATATGTACTCAAAGCGAGCATAAGCTTCTTTCTTAAAAGCACATGAGATGTGCTATGGTAATTTCAGTCTCTCGCTGAATTGATGCTCCGCTTGACTAGCTTTAGCTAATCCTGTATTGTTACCCGTGTTCACCGCTTGCCAGCCCACTGTGAAAGCTGTCTTGGCCTGGATGATATAGCTCGTGATGGGGCTGCCGTTATCCTGGCCAGGTCTCCAAGAAAGCTGAGCTGTGCTGTCTGTGATCTCCTCCACCGTTACACCATCTGGAGCTCCTGGGGGACCTGATTCAATCAGACAATTAGCAGTGAATTAGCAATTAGAAATGAAGTTACCTTCACTGACATCTAACCTTGCTCACCCCCTGCCAGGAAGTTCTCCTCTTATCGCCCCACTAAGCTATGATATAAGACCAGTCTCTAAAAGGTGTTATTGCATTTTAAGATATTGCTTTTGTGGGAACACTAGATCTCTTTGAGAATCATAGGAAAGCTTTTCAGAGGCTTGAGCTTAGTTTTCTTAACAGCTACAGCATGTCTCCTTTGAAAAGCTGCAAGCAGGCCTTCCTCTGCACATCTTTAATTGGTTCCTCCAATTATAAATGTGCAGAGCATTGTCTGTCTTTGTCAAAATCACACTCCTTTGGGGGGAAATATAAAGAAATGGAGCATAATGTTACTTGGTTTTGTCAGCGCAGGTCATTGTGTCACTCGCACTGTCAATAATAAAACCAGACTGTGTTTGTTTCTCACCTAAATGGCATTTGAAGACAAAACATGAGGACAAATTTTGAATTTGTTTCTTTATATTTGGTTTTGGTGGTTTAATGAGTTTGCATGCATCTTTGGCCAGACTAACATTTACATAATTCATTTTAAACCAAGGCATAATATTCAAATGCCAGACAATCCTAGTTTCTGTAAATTACACTGCCGGACGTTTTAGGAGCTGAATGTTCTTCAGGGTTCCCTCTCTTTTTAACCAATGCCTTAATCTTTATCTAGTAAATAATGATTTGTAAGAATACTTCTTACTCACAGTTGCTACCTGATAAAATATTTTAGAGCTAGGCAGAATAGAAAAATATATATTCATTGAAAAATGGCCATTGAGTTTTGAGATTGCATTAATTTATATGACTTTTCTATATGTAGAAGTCAGACATTTATAATTTGACTCCCCATCAATAGAGCACAGCAGCTGTGACGTCAAAACCTGGAATTCATGAGTTCGCTCAAGATTTTCCTATGGGTTTTCATATTCATAAGAAAAATAAGGTCTGTGGTAAATATAACTTGACAATACTTGTTTTGTTGTACAACATAAAGTGCACACACTCATTACATTATTAAAAACACACATTTTTTAAAATAAACATACTGTAGCTGCTTCAATATTCACATGATCCGTATGGGTGTTTGTAATGTAGATCGAAACGTCCAAGTATCGTCAATTTTTGTTTAACTTAACAGACCTTGTTTTACTCATAAATTAAAAAAACCCATTATAAAAACCCATAGGAAAATCTTGTTGGAATCCACAGCAAACTAGTGTTCCGGTTTTTCCAGGTTCATGGCTGTAGCAGCCTATTCAGTTTTTTTTCAAGACAATGGGAGTGAATTAAAATAACAAATATTTTGATTGATAGTTGTTTTAACTGATTTTAATGCTTGTTATTATTTGTAATCATTTTAAGTCATCTTGAAGCCCTCTTGGAAGTTTGCTGAGGCCCTCTAGTGGATCCTGGCCCCTGTTTGAGAACCATGCAGATCCTTACAAAAGTGATTTTATTTGGTCACTACAGCCAGTTTTTACATGCATTCTGTGCTTGCTGAGGGCTAATTTTATACCCTGCTTCTACACAGTTATAAACCATTATTACAGGCTCTGGCAGTAAAAGTTGGCATGTCAATCTAATTTCAATTGAAAGACATTGATCCCGCTAAATCACATTTGTAACCTTTGATAAACAGCTTTGATATGTTCCTCTAATTACCTCTAATGGAACATGTAATAAAAGATCAATTCAACAGACAGATACATTTCCTTGGCAAAGCAAGCAAAACATTTGAGTGTCCTTCTATCAGGTTTTCCTTCCAAATCCAAACCCTGCATGCTCTCTTACCTTTCACGATTAAAATAGCCGCCGCTGATAAACTCTCGACATCCGTGTCGACCACACAGACGTACTTTCCGGCGTGTTTCAGCTGTATATTCCGTATCATCAAATCACCAGATGTACTCTAGAGATATAAACACACAAATACGCATTACTATCCACTCTATCAACTGGAGCATTAAAGCGGCAGGAAGATGTGTGAGTTGTTTGCTATGTTTGCCGGCAAGTGATCCAGTAAGTGTAGACACCCTGCTGGGTTTGGGAATGAAAATATGGCCCAACTCCACAGCTAATGGATGACTTTTGGCAAAGGCTGTTCACTGATACATTTGAAACGTCCGTCATGGATAAACATTCCCTCTGGCCAAGCTTTAGGCTCCTTCGGCACTGCATAGAATCCAGCTACCAAACTCGCTCGCTAATTGGCTAATTAGAGCTTAATCACATTTAAGAGGTAGTGTGATTGGATTCAGTGTGCCGAAACTCTGAGATACGAAACCGTACAAGTGATGAATACTAAATCCACACGTGACAATTAAACGGCTTTGTTAATCTAATAAAGATGAAGAAAGTTGTTCATAAGAGTGGAGGTGAACTTTAAAAGCGCTTTGTCAAGGGAATAGATGAAGTACTGTGAAAACAGGTAAAGTAATAAAGATATTTCCAATTATATTCAGCATGATACATGTAACGAACAAGTAAAAAGAGCATCAGAATCCTTATATAGTATAAAGTTATAATCATAACGAGGACCTTAATTATTGTAAAGCACTTTCTGATAAACTAACTTTTATTCTCAATATGAAAATTAGGACTGTCAACTGATTAAAACTTTGAATCATATTAATTGATATGCTGATTAATTGCATGCATCAATATATACTGAGAAAAGAATCCAAATTAATTCAAAGACCGAAAGCACTGAATAGACATTTTTTCAAAGAACAGACAACTTTGAAAAACTCAAGACTCCAGCATTTTGTTTCACTCCGTTGCTCTCCATTTAGATGATTTTTAACATAAGCATTTATGTACGCATTAAATTAATATTCTATAACGAAAGCCCTAATAAGAAAATATATTTGCGTGACTTGCACTACTGTTCTAAAGTTTGAGGTTTATTATATTTAAATAAAGGAATACTTTCACTTAGCAAGGACACACTGAACTGATCAACAGAAACAAAGACATTTACATAATATTACATAATGATACAAAAGATTTCTATCTCTTCAAATAAATGCTATTCTATGGAACTTTCTATTCCTTAAAGGAATTTATTCCTGAAAATGCATCACAATTTCCATATCAGTGGGTGCATTTAATTCTTACTTTATTCACCCATCTGTCAAAAATCTTCAGTTTACTAAAATGGATCCTTTATTGATATTGTTTACATACTCTGACTCGCCTGGATGTTGATATTGTCTGTGTAGCACAAGTCTTTAGCACGGACAACTTCACTAATTTAATAAAAAGCGCTTAGATTTGAAATCAATTCAATTACATGAGATAAGATGTATGCTCTTATCTGAGGGGGAGATTGTGGTTGGCAAACAAGAGGTAAATCTGCGATTTCAGCAGTAAGGACATTAGGCTACAAATTTAGTTTCATTATGGAAATGAATTCATCCTAGCTGTGAACTTCATGCTGATAATCCTACAAAACGGGTGGCATCGGAGAATTCATAAGAACTGGAATATAATTACTGATAAGAATCACTGGATTAAATGAAGATGAGAGCGCTTCCTATGTGTGTGTCTCAAATGTTGAAAACCTTCACATTTTCTGTTCACATTTATGATGGAATTACCATAATTATATAAAAGTCAAAAATAATTTTATTTTACTGTTGCTTTCCACAGAAAACAAACTCATTCATTCTCTAAAATATGCAACCTTATTTGAAAAAGAAGTCATCTTTTTGATGGCTTTGGGGTGGTGATTAATGAATCTGTTTAAGGATTGCTCAGTTGAATCATGCGCATCCAATATTGACCAGTCAGCCCTCATTAGGGCATTCTCTCAGTCTTTAAAATCATTACTATTTCTAGAAAGGCATCATTACATCCCAGAGAAAAGCAATCTGAGATGAGATCTGACCATTCAAAAGCCATATGAGGATATTACACTTGAGATCCTTGAAGGCAAAACTTTGATGGATTGATTTTTATTCTGTGAAGAGGAGGGAAAGAGCTCAAAGTGAACGTAGTGGGCTGCTAAGCAGTGGAAGGAACAGCTAAAAACCTCAAAAAGACAGTGATGAATTGATCCCTGCCAAGTCTTCCACATTTTAACAGTAGGTCTGGCTCAGAGTATAATAGCATTATACAGAAAACTACTGGATCTACTCCTTCAGAAGCTGACATTTGTTGAGTATAATGAGTATAATAAATTCATTCGTTGTAAGAGCTGTACGGTACCATGACATTAAAGGTACACTCAGTATTTTTCCTCATTAGAAAGGTTTTACACAAAGGAATGAATAGTGCTTTTTATAAATTTGTTTAAAGTAATTTGCATTCACATGCAGTATGATGCAGACTCCAGTCATATGATCAGCCAAATAAAAGTTTTTAATAAAAGTTCATTTCAATTAAATTAAATTAGTCCGCAAAAACTGTCATATTTGCAGTTTGCAAGAAACAAAAAATTACTGAGTGCACCTTTAACCCTAATGCTGACCCAGAGAGGATTTTCTTTTCCCCAAAAATGCTAATTAATGTTATCACATTGGACTAAAACTTACTTACTTTTCTCACACAGGGTATAAAGCTTTTTACCCAATAAAAATTTGGGTAAACTTGAAATGAAAATAGGAGAGTACCACACATATATTTTTTGCATTCCCATTTGCTCAAATAGCAAAAGAAAAACGCCACGATAGTGTTTTCGTGACTTTCAATAAAAGGAAAAAAATTGAGAGACTAATAACGGCAGTCAGAAGAGAGAACGATGTCAAATTTACCGTCACTCCCATAGACGCTGCATTAGAAACACCCTCGCGTGCATTTTTTTGTAATTTGATGCAAAGGTGATATAATACAAAGAATAGTGTTATAAATGTACATACATTTAAAAAAAAAAAATACAAATATGAAAAACTTTCGAGGATTTACAATGCTGATGACTGTTAAATGTATCATCACAGTCTTAAAGTTCCATAAAGTTTTTCCAAATATTGGATACAATCTTTATCAACTTGTTTTCTTTCAGTTAGCACAGTTTTTGTATTTCTTTTGAAACTGACTGATCACAGGCCTCATTCATTTGAGCTTATGTAGCATTTGGACCAATCAGACACACAATTTTTCATTAGATTTAACAAATCAATTATTCATCAGAGATAACAAATAATCACAGACCCCTCACCCAATAAACATACTGGGTGCCAGCATGTCTGGGAACGACCACAGGCCCCTGGTTACCATGGCAACCACTACACCTCAGCCAGATCAGATAAACTTTTACGACCTAAAAGTATGTAGAGAGAATCTTCCTCCCTACTCAGTTCTCTCTAAAACAGACACATACTGCTATAGGAAATTACTTCTTACATTAATTCATAGACACATTTTTCTATCATGCATATCCCCAAGTCATTGTGAATGATTACTACCTTCTTGTATATGGATTTGTGTATTGTATATGCTTTATGCATGCTTAAGATAGATCACTAGTTAATATAACCTCACCTATACCATGTTTGGTGTCTATGAGCAGTGTTGGGGAAAGTTACTTTTAAAAGTAATGCATTACAATATTGTGTTACTCCATAAAAAAGTAACTAATTACGTTACTTAGTTACTTTTTATGGAAAGTAATGCATTACGTTACTTTTGCGTTACTTTTTAAATCTGGACAGGGCTTGCTTGTTTGATTTTAAAATAAAAAAGTTCTATTTTTGGCAAATATAAAAGCCTTTTCACACCAAAAGTGAAATGAATAAGCCTCAGGCTGAAGGGAAAGTAAATTTGTGTCCGTACAGTAGAATGCAGAAGAAGAAATTTCAACACACTTCAGCAATAAAAAAAGACACACAGATGTTTGTCTAGAGTAATTTGTGCTTATTAGTACGGTTGAACTGGATCATCAAAGGTCAGAAGCAAAGACATTGGTTAATAGAATGGGATTAAATACATAAAGGATATTTGTGTTGTTTAACATTTAATTATTGCAGGTTTGCGTCATATTCTGAGTTGCATTATTTTTATTCATTTTGAGGAATACTGAATCTGTGTTTTTTTTTGTGAGTGAGATGAATTAATGCATATTCATATTTATTTTAGAACTACAGTAACATCTTCTGATTTCTCTCAACATGGGGACAGGAGAGCTGTTAACCAATAAATTGGAAAAAAAAGTAACTTGCGTTACTTATTTGAAAAAGTAACTCCGATATTCTCTTGTAAATTAAAAAGTAATGTGTTACTTTACTAGTTACTTGAAAAAAGTAATCTGATTATGTAACTCGCGTTACTTGTAATGCGTTACCCCCAACACTGTCTATGAGTTCATATTTTCATGATCTAAATGAGAGTGTATATTATATGTTGATACCTATGCAACACAGTAGTATTATAAGAATCTTGAAGATTCTTCTCTTGAACACCCAATTGAGTTTCATACGCAAAACACCATGCTAGAGACAAAAAGTCGTAAAAATTTCCCTCCAAAAGTACCATTCCTCATTGGCTCACTCAAATCCCAGAGGAGTGACCACGATAGAAGATAAAGGCCTCACATCAGTGAACCGCCTTCAGTCTGTGGTTCTGTTCATTTCTGAGAAGATGAGGATGTGAGCTAGATCTATTCCTCAAGAACCCAACCTAAGCGTGTGCCAGGCTTCGGCCTAGTCTTTCCACGTCAGGATCCTCTGACTCAAACTGGTTCTTTTTCATACTGAGATGTCAAGTAAATACTTACAGCGGATCTAAATATTTATAATTAATTATAACTAGTTATAATTAATTATTCATATTTCCCCTTTGAGCTGATTCGCTACACTTATGAACCTCAGTTTTTGATTGAACACTGCCAAAATTATTTTTGCACAAGCACAGATCAATGAGGCCTACGATCAATCAGTTCCAAAAAGGAATACAAAAAGTGCTAACTGAAAGAAATCAAATTGACAAAAAGATATACAGAATCTTGAATACAAGATTCTGTGATAATACAGCATAATGAGAGATTTACAAGCAATTTTAAAAAGGCCTGTTCATTTTGAACTGGGAAGTTGAAATACTAGATATTTGTTGAAAATCTTTACACAGTTCTATGACACGTTAAACAGTATAGAACAGAATATGGACAGAAGGAATATCCAATAAAATATGACTTACCCCACCCACATGCTCATAATGTTGGTCTAGTTTATTGAGGAGCTGCCCATTGAAGGCCCAGGAGAATGAAACCTCCAGAGCAGGGTCACATGAGATCTGGCAGGGCAGTACGATGCTCTCCCCAACAATGATCTCCATGTCCACTGGACCCTGGATGATTTGTGTGGGATCTGCTCCAAATCACACATAAGCTTGATTCATTTAAATGAAAAATAAATGTAAATATATACATACAGTATATATAAATTTTAAACCACACAATTAAAAGAGCCATATTTTCAACCAGAAAAACGTGACATTTGTGCAAACCCTGAAATCAAAGCTCCATGTACAAAAGCCAGACTGTAAGATTTAGAGCAAAAATAAAATATTTGAAAATCGGAAGCAGACAAAGGTAGGAGACTGTGTCCTTATCAATGAATGAACAACTAATCCCATGATGAAGCACTGCGATGTATTTCCACAGACTGCTATAGAGGCATATTAACAACCTTGGAGCTCACAGTAGGTCTGTCTTGAAAGGTTTATACAATATCACTAAAAACCAATTTCTCTAAGGAGGAAATGAATGTGATTTTTACTTCTATCCACTAGGTAGGACATTGCAGCTTTATCTACTGTATAAGGAAAAAGGCTTAGTAGTCTCTTGCTTGCTCTCTCTGTTTTTGATGTAGACTGATTTAATACCACAGAAGCGAAAAGATAACTAAACACACTCTTTACACACACACACACACACACACACACACACACACACACACACACTGTATAACAACGCAAACAGGGTCAATTGGATTTGACTTTTTTATAATTAGTTACAATAAATGTTCTGAAATTTTTTTTTTTATAGTGTAACGCACTTCATGAATTTCAAATGATCGAGGAAAATTCAATTTCTATACAATTGATATGACCCCTTTAATGACATGAATGTTTTTACAAGTGCCCAGTATCTTAATGCGGAATTTCAGATTCATATTCAAATCTGCTGGCGTGGAATCTGCTGTAAAAGATGGCGATGTAGTAATCTCAGCAAAACCCAGAGTGCAAATGCAGCATTCTATATTTTTCTCTCTAAATTGTGCACGCTCAACCTATAACCTACACCCTCACACACTCCATTAGTGTAATCCAGGGTAATTGCAATGCCATAAGCAGAGCGTGAAAATGGGTAATTACAACAACACACAAAAAGCCACTGTATCCCATCCCTGTTGAGTTGAGCTGAGAGAAAAAAAACCCCTGCCAGTTGGAGAGCTGAACCGCTCAACCCATCGCATTACACTATAGGAGCATGTAAGCCCCAGAAAGCAATCAAACAACTTTCCTTTCAGAATGCATCATAAAAACAGAATGAACTACATGAAACAGAAATCCTCTAATTGGCAGAACACGTTTGTATATACTCCTCTGGATGGATTTTGTTGCTTTTGCTGCTTTTTTCCTCTATTGTAAGTCACTTTGGATAAATGCACCTGCTAAATGCATAAATGTAAATGTTGTTCTGGGGTAACTGGCAGGTCAGGATAGCATATTTAACAACAAAAAAATACAATTCATGTATACAGAGTCCAAATCAAATATGGCATCACATCAGAGTTATTTTAGTACCACTGAGATACTATATATAGCTTTTTTTTAAATTAGTTTTTGCTTTTTTGTTTTAACTGTAGTTTTATTGTGTGTTTTTTAATATTATTTGTCATTATTTTTGGTTGTTTTTTAAAATATGTCTATATAGTTTTTATTGTTTTTTAGCTTTACTTATTTATTAAGTTAAAAGTAAATAGAAACGAGAAATGTAGCTTTAGAAACTAGCTGAAGTAACTTATTGAAGTAACTTAAGTAACTTATTTTTAATGGTTTTACTTTTAGTTAACTATATTAACCCTGTATCACATTAAAAACATGACATCTCATTGGTTCTTACATGTGACGTGACTGAACATAATGATGTCGTAACACAAAGACAGTGAGGTTTGATGTTATTCATACCTTTCCATATTTAATTTGGATTTTCTTCGGAAGTATCATAAACACTATGTCCTTTTTGGAGCTTGAAACTGATGGACCCCATTGCCTTCCATTGTATGGACAAAAACAGTGGAGACATTCTTCAAAATATCTTTCTTTGTGTTCCACAGAAGAAAGAATAATTTGCAATAACATGATGTAGAGTAAATGACAGAATTTTCATTTGTGGATTAAGAAGAAACTGTCATGATTTTGATTAATTGTGCAGCCGTATCAAGCACACAATTGCATGTGAAGCCTCCAGAGTTTGGAGAAAAATCACCACTTCCCACACAACATTCCCACAGCTGAACGATAGTATAAAATAACTTCTATCTGCAGCAAAAGCAAAGAGGAAGCCCAGAGCGTAATACTGTTACAGCAATCCATACCTGTGACCAGCAGTCTTCCTGTAGTGCTGGCCGTACCAAACTGGTTTCTAGCCAAGCATGCGTAGTTTCCCCCGTCCATCTTGGTCACATTTGTAATTCTAAGTGTTCCATCAGGGAGTAAAGTTATCCTAAAGGAGAGAAGCACAATCCTCTCAAATCAGATTTAAACTTGGTTAACTCATACCGGAGCTAGATTCCGAGTACAAATGTGTTTTATCTTTCGGGAACAGTAGAAATGTAGTAAGAAGAACATAATGTGTTTCTATACAATGGCACATAAATCTCTGTACTGTACACTGGACAGTCTCCATGGCTCTGTGCATGCAGCTGTCCGAGAGCCAATGAAGCTGAAGAGTGTGTGTTCACACGAAAACAAACGTAAAGCCAACGAGCTATAACAGCGGGCTGCATCACTCAATCCAACCCTTCATGACTATTTCTACAATTTTAACATACTCTTTAACAGGCTCTTAAGAAAAACAGTCCTTAATTTCTCATGCAGATGTGAAGTGCATATAATTTGAAGAGCTTTCAATTTCATTTACAGTAATTGTTATTTACCTGTAACTGCAATCTATGACTATTTAACCCTTTACAACTCTGTATAACAAGGCTCTTACACTGTTGCTGGTGATTTTTCTTGGCTGTGTGGGTGGGGGCAATTTTAGTTCTGCAATATGCAGTTATACAAGTAATTAAAAACTTTGCATCGCTGAATTAAAAGAAAAAACATTCGGCTTGTAAGCTAATCAATATATTTTAATAGAAATGGTTGTGACTTATTTTGTATAATTATATGTAGGTTCTAATTTGACATTTAGATATCCACTATCATTCAAAAGTTTGGGGTCGTTACTAATTTTTTAAAATGTTTTTGAAAAAGTGTCTTATGCTTAAGGCTGCATTTGTTTGATCAAAAATACAGTAATTTTTTTGAAATATTATTACAATTTAAAAAAGTATTTTCTATTTGAATATATTTCAAATTGTAATTTATTCAAGTGATGTAAAGCTGAATTTTCAGCATCATTACTTTCGCATCTTCAGCGTCACATGATTCTTCAGAAATTAATCTAATATTATGATCTGCTGCTCAAGAAACATTTCTTATTATTATCAATGGTTGTGCTGCTTTATATTTTTGTGGAAACTTTCACGTTTAAAAAAAAAAAAGGTTCAAAAGAGCAGCATTTATTTGAAATAGAATATTTTATGTAACAATGTTCATCCAATTTTTTGCGTCTTTGCTCAGGAAAATTATTAATTTCTTTAAAAAAATATTACTGAAACCAAAATTTTGAACAGTAGCCTATAGCCTTGAGATCTAAAGGAGTTAGCATTATATACACCCAAAAACTGCTTAGTAACGTTAATATATACTAAGGCAATGCTATTTGGATAAATCTAGTTTTCTAGCAATTTTCTAGTGTTACAAGCATTCCCGTAAATGTAAATTCTTGTATCTTGTAATAAATACAAAATTATTCTCAAGCCTTTCTCAGTGTAAAAATGTAATGGCACTATTAGTGATAGCATATATATGTATAGCAGTGTTTGATTTATGAAAAATAAATGCCTCCAGCCTTGGTTTTATATCAACAGCTATTCACAATATATCATCATCCAGAGTACCAGACAGCAAATGCTGGTAACCCAGAGCTGGAATGTTAATGTTGTAATGCACAATTCCCCGGCAATGCGCTTACAGTTAAATTGGACTTGGGCCGTCTCACCAAATGCTCTCAAAACAAACAACTGTGGCTTAATGCAAATCTATTGTTTTCCCACAGTAGTTCTGCACTCTTGACAGGATTCTCCCTATACTATTTAATCCAACTTCATTATAAAAAGAGCCAAGCTTACGATCCGCCGTGCTTTCTCAAGTGGCCTCCTACCAGGAATCATTTCATACTTGACAGACTCAACCCAAAATGCCAAGCGACCTCCTGCCGGCCCGGCCTAATGGCCTGTTTCATAATTCATGAGTGTTATGGTCAGTGAGCTACCACAATTGGCAATGCAGCTTCCTTTTGATAACTGTTCAGTTGCAGGCTGTGCACAGATATTGTGAACATAGCAGGGCTGCTGGGGTGAAGCCTTGAATGAATAGATGGTCAGAAATAAGGAATAAGAGGAATTAAGGACAAGAATACAAAGAAAAGAGAGAAAAAAGATTGTATCTGTACCTCTCTGAGCTCTGCACCGGTTCATTGCCTTTCCTCCACATGCTGATGGCTGTGGGAAAAGCCTGCGGCCTGCACTCCATGGTGACTGTGCTGCCCGTCTTGGCTTTAAGCAGAGGTCTGAGAGGGCTTCTGGAAAAGTCTGGGGGCGAGGCTGTGGAAAAACACAGGGCCAAGAGAGTCAAACTGCTGCCTCAGGCATGGATGCCCATTACTGTAAATGGACAGCAGGGCCGAAAGCAGCATTCTGTTTGTGTTTGTGTGCACTGCTGATGTAGGACCACTTTAGCATTTTCTCTTACAGTTCGATGCAAATTCTGAAGGGACTTCACTTGTATGGAATTATGCAAATCAGGTAAGAAAATTAGTGATGAATGCAGTTTGCATGGTGCAGCTCCTCATCGTGCGGGTGGTTCTGAGCACTAGGTTGTGCAAGATGCAGTTGACTACCGTAGTCTTTATTGAGACCATCCGAGAAAAAAAAAATCATACTTTTGGGATACATTTATGAAGAGTCGATTTGCAAAAACAGATAACTCTGTTTTTTAACATTCTCAAAAATTATGTTTTTTACCCTGCATTCCAATTAATATCAATCAAACTGCAGTTGGGTTGTTTTGATTAAATAATATTAGCTAAAAAAATACAGCTAACTAACACAATAAGACACAATAAAAACATAGTTCCCCTTTCATGGGAACTTCGAACTCGACTCCCATAGCAATATGGTAGAGTTGGTATTTAGTGCTCGCCATGGTTCTGGCTTGCACTCCCCTCAGCATGGCGGCGGGGGTATACCGTTCCCCCTAGCGACCCCTAGAGGACGCAGTTCGAAGTTCCCATGAAAGGGAACGTCTCGGGTTACTTATGTAACCATGGTTCCCTGAGTAGGGAACGAGACACTGCGTCCTCTAGGTTTCTTGCCATGCTGCGGACGCAAGCTTCAGACGAAGAAGTGAATGATGTGTAGCTCCCGGCACCGATTTATACTGTAGTCGCACCGGTAGTGACGTCATGGCTGTCGCCGGCCAACGAGTTGGTGTTTTTTCAATGTATGCTTCAGATACGAGTCACGACGAGGCGTTCCCCATAGCGACCCCTAGAGGACGCAGTGTCTCGTTCCCTACTGAGGGAACCATGGTTACATAAGTAACCCGAGACGTTATCTTTTTTCCAAATAAACTGTTCATATATAAAATATATATAAAATCATACTTTTGGGATATATATATATGCCTACACACACACACACACACATACACATAACAAGAAGAAAGATCGATAGAATAGAAAAAGAATAGAGAAAGCTAGTGTATTTTGCGTTAATGTGTCTTCTTGAAGTGGTATTCAATTAATGTGTTTTTAACTGAGCTAATTTGGTATATCTGATGATGTCATGATCAACAGAAAATGAAAAAAAAGAAAATATATGTATATACAGTGGGTACGGAAAGTATTCAGACCCCCTTAAATTTTTCACTCTTTGTTATATTGCAGCCATTTGCTAAAATCATTTAAGTTCATTTTTTTTCCTCATTAATGTAACTTGTTGGGTCTTTCCCAAAAAGACTCATGGCTGTATTAGATCAAAAGGGTGCTTCTACTAAATACTGAGCAAAGGGTCTGAATACTTAGGACCATGTGATATTTCAGTTTTTCTTTTTTAATAAATCTGCAAAAATGTCAACAATTCTGTGTTTTTCTGTCAATATGGGGTGCTGTGTGTACATTAATGAGGAAAAAAGCTTAACTTGAATGATTTTAGCAAATGGCTGCAATATTGTTAAGAGTGAAAATTTTAAGGGGGTCTGAATACTTTCCGTACCCACTGTATATGTCACGCTGCTGCTGCTACTGTGAAGGAGCGAGGAGCAGAGGAGTGAGGAGACGTAGGGGAATCCGTGAAGAAAGTCTTTATTTACAAAAAGGAATGCACACGTAGCACAGGGGATTGATGAACAATATCGGACAAGTAACAACGGGCAGAACACCCTTTATATACAGAACTTACGAGAGAACTAACTAACGCCTCTAGGGACAGGCTTACATGGGGCAGACAGCCTCCAGGGCGGTACGCGTTCCGGGACCCATGGCGGATCAGAGAGCTCAGGGGACCATGGCGGAGCGGCAGACTAGGGAGCCATGGAGGAGCAGGCAGACTAGGGAGCCATGGCGGAGCAGGCAGACTAGGGAGCCATGGCGGAGCAGAAGGCAGTTCAGGAGGCCATGGCGAAGCAGACAGTTCAGGGGGCCTCTATGGCCGGCTCCCTATAATGTCCCCCCCCCCCCAAAAGAAAATCCTTGGGGAAAATATCGGCCCCTGAGGCCCTCCGTGGGCCTGACTCGGGAACTGTGGCCTTCCCTGGGCTTGACGTGGGAACAGGAGCCCTCTTCTGGTTCTGTATCGGGGCAGACGCTCTCCAGACACCGGAGGATCCCTTCCCTCCAGCTTAGTCCAGTGGTGTCTGGGAGGTCAACGGGGCGGTAGTAATTTGCCCCGATCCAGAACAGAGAGTTAAGAGTGGTGTCGTCGAGCGCCGTCTTACAGGCGAACTCCACCAATGGAAGATCCTTGCGGGTTAGGGCGGCGAATTGCGCTGCGATCTCCATTATCGCGGGGTGGGGGGGAATGGAAAACTAAATATTTTCAAAAAGGAAACAAAAATGAGGAGAAGGGACTAAAACCTTACTGTTTTAGGTCCGGTATTCTGTCACGCTGCTGCTGCTACTGTGAAGCTGCGAGGAGCAAAGGAGTGAGGAGACGTAGGGGAATCCGTGAAGAAAATCTTTATTTACAAAAAGGAATGCACACGTAGCACAGGGGATTGATGAACAATACTGGACAGGAAACAAGGGGAAGAACACACTTTATATACAGAATGAACAAGGGACTAAACGAGGGACACCTGAAACCTATAAACATATTTAACACGAGGGAGAAACTAGGTCACAGGGGGGAACATGGAACACACAACAGTCCATGGGCGTGACAATATATCTATAGGCCTATATATATATATATATATATATAAACAGTTTAACAAATTAATAAATATTAACTCTTTTCTACATTCATAACAATAAGAAATATTAGATGAGCAACCAATTTTAGAATGAAAATTCAGTTTCTATATCACAGAAAACAAATTACATTGTAAAATATCTCAAAAAAGTAAACCATTATTTTAAATTGTAAAATATTTCACAATATTACTGTTTTACTGTATTATTGATCCAGGGTTAATACAGTTAACTTAAACTAAACCTATTAAAAACATTTTCATTACTTTAAATAAAATAAGCGTTGACTGAAATAAAATATAAAAAATAGACTTATTTAATTACAATTAGTTTCCAAGACAACATTTCTCATTTTCATTTAGCTTAACTTGTACTAAATAATTATGGGTAACACTTTACTTGAAGGGGTGTGCATAAGACTGACATGACACCTTCATAATCATGACATGACACATGTCATGAATATGAAGGAGGTTTTATGCATGTTTATGACAACTGTCATTAAGTGTCATTCGCTCAGTTATGTCATTTTTAATGCAAATATGACATTATTTGACCTAACCCTACCCCTACCCTTACCCCTAACCATAGCCCATAACAAAGACATCTCAAACAATGTCAGCTTTGCACTAAAAATTACATAACTGAGCAAATGACACTTAATGACAGTTGTCATAAACATGCATAAAAAACCTTCATATTCATGATATGTGTCATGTCATAATTATGTAGGTGTCATGTCATGATTATGAAGGTGTCATGTCAGTCTTATGCACACCCCTTCAAGTAAAGTGTAACCTAATTATGTACTAAAATAATTAATTTAAATTTTAAATGACAAAAAAAACTACATAGACATACTTAAAAACATCAAAAACTAATACCAAAATTAACACAAAAGCAGAAAATACAAAAGTAAAAGCTAAGTCGAAATATAAAAAAAACTATAATATTACCTCAATGATACTGAAATAACACTGGTTTGGTCAAATAAATTCAGCCTTGGTAAGTATAAGTGATTTCTTTCTAAACCAAAAAAAATAAAAAAATCTTACCGACCCCAAACTTTTGAAATTATTAGATTTTTTCTGTCCTTCTATAAAAAGTTAAATAAAACAACAACAACAACAAGAAGTAATTTTTGAATAAGCTATCCCTTTAAAAAACATTTTATCTATGTTTAAGGATGACTGATATTACACAGTCAGATGACACAAGTGTTTATATAAGTTGTCCAGCTTTTAAAGTAGCCCTTATATGAAAGACATTTTCCGATAGCGATGACGCAATGCTAAAAGACCAGCACTAATTGGGTCTAATGTGTCTCCTCTGCCGAGAAGCAGCGTTTATCCAATGCTGTGAATGGGAAAGCTGCTTATGCACTGTCATAGTGAACACGCTGTGGCCTAAAGCATTGTTAAATAGCATCTCTATTACCTAATTAGCCCATGGAGGGTTGCTGGCTCCTACACAAACATCATTAGACAAGACCAGTGAAGGAATTGGCTACAGTCAGAAAGCAGAGGTGTCCTTAATGACCTCTACCCACTTTCCAACATTTCTCTCTCTCTCTCTCTCTCTCTCTCTCTCTCCATCTCTGTATGAACCGATGACAAAGATCTTTCTCTGGTCTTTGTCACTGTCTACTCAAAGTTTTTTCCACCAGTGAACCCCTCAGTTGTGGCTTTGTCATGTTGTCAACACAGCGGCCACAGTTCCTCATCTCCCACCAGCCAATCAATAGTGGATTAACATTACTGAAAGTCACAGTGCCACGCCACCCCACTCTAAATGTTGCAAAATCAATGTTCTTATGGGAAATGTTGAAAAGAGGGCAGCTCCTTGGTGTGTGAGCCCATTTCAAGAGTTTATTTGCCTGTAAAAACCTCAGCGCACGTCAGTGGATGAGAGCGGTGTTCTGATATTCATAATCAGTCACACTGCAGTCTGAACCTTTATTTGCAAACTGCACTAGTCACTTCTTTGTAGTGCCAATTGAACCAGTGACTTAAGGGCCTTTCGCACCGCAGGAACCTTTTCATAGTACCGGAACTAATTGTGGAACTACCCACTTTTTGGCGTGTTCACACCGCCGGAACTGGGAGCGATTTTAGACTGCCTTTTTCGAGAAACAAATTCTCAAGCAAATTCAAAGGGGAAATCAGGAGCAGGGTCTAACCAGCACAACTGGTACTAATCGTGACATAAGTAGACACTGATTGGCCAAATGCGTACGAAAACACCCTCACCCGCCATGATTTAAAACACTGTTTAAACATACTGTAAACATGTCAACTTATTTCGCAAGTATGGAGGACAGCGATAGATGGACGGACGCTGAAGTGCAGGCACTTGTAGCAAATGTAGCACTGCCAGTTGTTGTTGGAGATTCTTAGTCCTCCTTTCCGTTCTTTCAATCGCTTTACGTATACGTCGACTTTCCATGTCCATTATTGTGAAAACCACGAGACACAACAAACACACAGCTCCGATCACAGCGTTCTCCATCCTCCTGTTGTTAATGTTGTTCTTCTTTGTTTCTGTTGTTGAACACCACGCACAAATGACGACGCTGTTGACCGGCTTACGTCACTTCCTAGTACACACTCTCGGTGCAAATGCACTCCCCATGGTACTGGGAAATAGTTTGCGCAAAATCGTCCTAGTACTTTAGTACCGTACATTTAGTTCTGGAACTAAAGTGGTGCGAAAGGGCCTTTAGAGCTACATTTAAAAGTACTGACTCAAAGTCTACTCACCATCATTTTTATTTAAAAAGAAGAAGAAAAAAACCTCAATCACATTGTAAAAGTATGTAAAAAAGGAAAAAGGTGCTCTAGTCTTAGCTTAATCTGTCTACTCTAGTCTTAAATAGGTAACTGACACCTAAATGCTATTATAAGAGTTCTCAATGTTACTTCTTAAAAGCTTGCAAATTAAGTATTGCTTTGTTTACATTTATTTCCCCGCAAATGAGAAATGTGTGTTTCAATTACAATAGTACGATAAACAACAATAGTATGAAAAAAAAATAAAAATCACAATTTATTACTGGAAGTTTCATGATGAAATATAAATAAAATAAAAATTGTGTTATTTCAATATTTTTCCAAATGTTAATATTTTTAATATTTCTCCAACTGATTTACCTACATTAAAATAAATATACATAAAAATACATACAAATATTTAGAATAATATATAAATGCATCATAATAGCATTAGATCTGCCGGTCTTAATTCACTCTATCTACTCATAGGAAACCAACACTTAAACATTATTATGATGTTATTTACATTACTTTTTAGAAGCTGGTATCATTTTTTAATATTATTGAATTGAATTATTGTCATTGCATTTAAAATACAATGAGATTTTGTATGCTCTTCCAACACAAAATACTAACATAAATACAAACACAAACAATAAATAGAATTACACTAATGCTTGGTGTATATTGCACAAATAATAATACATAAATAAATACATAAATGGAATGATACTCGTAATAAATTATGACAAATTAGACATTATGTATGTTGATTGAGAGTGGGGATGGCCTTAGGATAAAAACTGTTCATAAATCTGGAAGTCCGTGCTTTGATTGACCTGAAACGTCTTCCTTATTTATGTTATTATTATTAATAATATCATATTTTGTAAATGAAAAATGCATAGTAAACATAATGGAATGCTTATACAGCCATTCAAACAGTCTCTTTCATTGTTGAAACACCAGTATGAAAAAAAATTTTTTTTCTCATATTTATTTTAATTAAATTTATTGCAGGCAACTGAATGGCAGTCAAAACAACAAAAAAACTATAAAATAGCTTGTGATTTTAGTTCCTAGAAAGATTAAAAAAAATGTATACTGCACATGCAAAACGGCAACCAAAAAGCAGTGTAATGAAATGTTGTAGAAATGTTTTGTGTTTGCTGGAATTGTGCTGCAGAGTGAACAAAGGCACAAGATAACTGGAAATGAGAAGGGTACAGCTTCTCTTACCTAACACCACCAATTCGGCACCAAAATAAATGATTCCATGTTTGTTCTCAGCGACACATTGATACATGCCAGCATCTGAGAGGTTTACGGAGCTGATTGTCAGGGCTCCGTTCTCTATCTGGATCCTGTCCTGTAAAACAGAGGAACAGCAATGAAGATAATTTTTAAATAGCTGTGCATTCAACTCAAACAACAGTGGCAGAGTTTTAGGCATTATATAATCAATACAACTTTGTCATATACATATAACAGAGCTCCCCTGCTGAGGTTTGACCCAAGCATCTTTGCACTACCATCCCAGTCTTTTTACGACTACACCATTGCTTGAATTTTACCTCGGCTGCCAGGAGTTCTCCATTCTTCAGCCAGCTGTATGAAGGCTTGGGCTTCCCATTGGCCTTACACTCCCAGAACAATCTCTCTTCGATTGACAAAGCATTGTCTCGCATCGTCTGAACCCACTGAGGCTTTGCTGAAGAGACAAAAGTCAATCATTTTTATGAATTAATTCATTAGAATTCATTCTTTATGTATTATTTGTAAGTTTTTGAATCACAAAGATGTTTTTCTGGTCTTTGTGAAGATATTTTTTTATGGTCTTTGTTCTCAGTTGTGATCATGTTGTCAACAGAACGGCCACAGTTTCTCATCTCAGTATTTTTCAAATTGTATGCTCACCAAGGCTGCATTTATTTGATCATAAATACAGTAAAAACGTCCCAGGTTACGTATTGTAGCGAATCAGCTCATGGGGAAATATGAATAATTAACCATAACTAGTTATAATTAACTATTCATATTTTAGATCCACTGTAGATATTTAGCTGACCACTCAGGGTCAACCGTCTTGTCAATTCTAAGAACGTTAATTTCCTGGTTAAAGGAAATAACTTTCTTACTGTACAATTCTATAAGTTTGTAACGTAAATCTGCATGATTATTGACTCCGGTTATGAGTAAACAATGAACACGTCAAGTGTGATACAAGTAAGGTTTTATTAACTACATAAACACTTAAACTAGTCTAACATACTACATAAACACATTAAGCCGGTCTAACATACACATACACACACACATACAGTTGGTATAGGAAAGGGTTAAAGTTTAACTCAGCATAGAAAGAAGCATAAAGAATGGATTTTATGGAACACTTTGCATGTATATTCAACAGATCAAAGCCTTCAGGGATACGTCAGATACTGAGTTCAAACACACCTTTGTAAAAAGGTGTAACTGATACTTAATGTATCAATTAATAAGACTAAGTTTGAAACTTAGCGAGTCTCGGCGGTCTGAAAGAGATTCCTGATGCAAATCTTAAAGCTTCCCGTAGATCTTTGCAGAATTCGGGTCGATGAAAAGAACCAGTTTGAGTCAGAGTCACTTGATGAATGAAAAGGACTAGGCCGGAGCCTGACACGAGCTTTGGTATCCTGGAGCGTTTCTCACATCTTCATCTTAGCATCTCACTGAACCACCGAACAGGGCGGGTCACATGGAGTGTGGCCTTTAAAGCCTGCAGAGATTCACGCCTCTCAAGATGGGTTTGTCCAATGAGGAAGGCTGAAATCCCAAGCGGGAGGTTGGAAATACTGAGGATTTTTATGACTCTTTGTCTGTAAGCATGGTATTTTGCATATGTAATTCGCTGGAGTATTGAGGCACAAATTAGTACCGATTCTTAGAACATCAATATGTTGCAGAAGTATCAGCATGTAATATGCACTCTCAGTTAGATCATCCGAAGACGAATTCATAGATACTAGACATGGTAGAGTTACTTATATGAATGAGTGGTTTATCGTAAGCACGAATAAAAATAGTCTATAATACAACAGATTAAATACAACACAGCAATAATATACACAATGGCCTGAAGAAAATGGGTGTTCATTCAAAGAAGGTTTTCCTATGAATTAATTAGTAGAAAAGTCCATTTCTCCTGTGCATTTGTGTCCCTTTGTTTCTGGAGAAAGCAGAATGAGAGCCGGCTCGCATTCCACAAGGTTGTAAATGTATCGGGTTACGAAGCAAGCTCTAGTAGGGATGCCGGAAGTATGGCCTTTGCGTCGGAAACGCTAGGGGAACGAGATGTCCACGCCCCCAGACTTGCAAATCCCTGCGTAGTGTGGAAGAGCACAGCTATGGCAAGAGAATAGAGGGGCCTGGAGTGGCTCACAAATCTAGGTCATAGAACCTGACGAACGTGAGGGGCATAAACCATCCTGCAGCGTTGCAGATGTCCTGCATAGGAACTCCTGCCAGAAAGGCCTTGGAGGCCGCCACACTTCTTGTTGAGTGAGCCTTGACCCCCAATGGTGAGGGGAGATCAGGGGACTCATAGGCAACCGTAATGGCATTCACTATCCACCGACTGAGGGTCTGCTTGGAAGCAGGATGACCTCTCTTAGGGGGACCATAGCACACAAGCAGTTGGTCCCCCTTCCTCCACAGGGCAGCTCTGTGGACGTATGCATCCAGTGCTCGCACTGGACACATACAATTAAGCCTCTGCTGGTCGGGCTCCCAAAAGGGAGGAGGATTAAAAGCCTGGAGGTTCTTTCAATCTGTCACAGCGTTCTCCATCCTAGGGACATACCCCGCCCGAGGGTACAAAAAAGCTTTGGCCAGACCGGGCGCAAAGTCGAGATAGGAAGGAGCCACAGAAAGGGCCTGCAGATCCCCAACTCTCTTTAGAGAAGATATAGCTAAGAGAAACACAGTCTTTAACGTAAGAAGACGATCTGATATCTCCTCAATAGGCTCAAAAGGAGGCCTACAGAGAGCATCTAACACCACAGCAAGGTCCCAAGGAGGGACACGAGATCGTATCTGAGGCCTCAGCCTCATCACACCACGGAGGAAACGTGTAACCAGGGGGTCCTTGCCCACTGAGTGACCATCAAGAGGGGCGTGGTAGGCCGCTATAGCTGCCACATAGACCTTCAGGTTGGAGTGGGTTAACCCCGCGGAGAAATGGGCCTGCAAGTACTCCAGCACTGTACCAATCGGGCAGTTAACTGGGTCAAGCTGGCGGTGTCCGCACCATGAAGTGAAGAGCCTCCACTTCAGGGCGTACAGTTTCCTCGTTGAGGGAGCTCTGGATTGGAGGATGGTCTCAACAACCTTGGTTGAGAGACCAGAGGCTATGAGTTGGGCCCCCTCAGGGGCCACAACCACAGCTTCCACAACTCTGGGCGGGGGTGAAAGATCATACCCTCCGCCTGTGAGAGGAGATCCCTCCTGATGGGAATCTCCCATGGAGTGCCGTTGAGGAGAGAAATCAGGTCCGATAACCATACCCGACGCACTATCTCTAGAATTCCCGAAGCCTCGGCCAAGTCTGTACCATAGCATCCAGCCCCAGTGGAGCTGGATGAGTCAGAGAGAACCAGAGGGGACATTGCGATGTCATCTGAGTTGCAAACAAGTCCACCCGAGCCTGGCCAAAAACTCTCCATATCTGCTTCACCACCTCCATTCCCCGGGCCTCGGCCCCTGCCTCGACAGGATGTCTGCTCCCATATTGAGATGCCCAGGAATATGCACTGCCCTCAGCGAGAGGAGCTTGCCCTGGGACCACACAAGAGGTATCACGTTGGACGCCGCTGCCATCAGACCCAGCAGCTTTTGAAACTGCTTGACAGTGAGTGATCGGCCTTCTCTGACTCCCATGACTGTAGTGAGGATCGACTCGATCCGAGCAGGAGACAAACGTGCCTGCATCGTGGTCGAATCCCACACCACACCCAGATAAGTGGTCCTCTGTAATGGAAAAAGCACACCTTTCTTGGTGTTTAGTCTTAACCCAACTTTCCCATATGAGCGAGAACGACATCTCGATGCCGAACCGCCATCTGCCCTGATTGAGCTAAAATCAACCAATCATCGATGTAATTGAGTATGGGGACGCCCTGGAGTCGCAGAGGAGCTATAGGACGGCAATGGAGAAACCGCTGGAATGCCGCCGCCTGTTTACGAGCCTCCTGGTATCTGTCGACGACAGAATCGACGGCGTCGCTGAACAGACCAGAAGGCGCAAGCGGGGCATCCATAAGGCAGACCATAAATGCCTCTCCGCTGCCACCAGAGCTGCCATGGACCGCCCAATAGCACGGGCAGTCTCCTTGGTGGTGTGAAGAGCTAAATCAGGGGTTCTCCTTAGTTCTAAGATATCATCTGCTTTAACTTGCTCGCCTTCATCTAGCTCTTTTAGCAGGTCGGCTTGGTACACCTGTAACACTGACATAGTGTGCAGACACGCACCAGCCTGACCCACTGCCGAGTACCCCTTGCCCACCAGCGCTGAAGTGGTTCGCAGTGGCTTAGAGGGCAAGACCGGAGCTTTCAGAGAAGACGCCGTGCCGGGTGACAGATAGCTTGCAAGCGTCTGCTCTACCCGGGGCATCGCCCTGTAACCGCATTCACTCAACCCCGCTACATTTCCATAGTAATCAGAGGCGGGGACGAATAAGCGTGCCGAGAATGGTTTCTTCCACGATCTCAACACCTCGGTGTGGATAAATAAAAAGTAAAAGAAAACAGCATTAATATTATTAAAAATTATTTGTGATATTATAAATGCCAGTCACTTTCATCGGTTTAATGTGTCCTTGCTGAATAAAGTAAAAATAAAACTTTTAAACTGTAGTGTGTAATCATCACATTCTTGACTGATAGGTTGACGCTGGATATTTTTAAGTTCTACATGTTAGTTAATGTCTTAAGAAAACATTAGTTATGAAAAAGAAAACAACAAAAAACAAAGCTATTCTACGACTGCTTTAACTAAAATTTTTCTCTGCATTTCTCCTCTTTTCAAGCTTGCCTCCTTGTTGTCTAATAAACACAGCATTGTGTATTACGATTATTGTTGGCTCTTTGACAAATTGCTTTGTTCATCTTTTGTAACTCACTTTGGATAAAAGCCTCTGTTAAATGCATAAATAAATATAGTGTCACGTCTTCCAATCTTAATGAAAACATAATTAAGGCAAGCCCTGTTAACATTGATTGCTTAGTTATTTCTATACTTATTGTATTTCTAAATTAATTATTTTCTTACGATGAAGACTTACAGTTGAGGGCCATATATAGGGACTAGAAAATCAGAGAGACTTGGGCTTGTGCTCTTGTAACATGCTAGCAGTTACAAAAAACCTCCAACTGTACAATGATTTTAGGGTTTGGCTTTGCTGAAACATGGCCACTCTTTTATCCGATTAATTGGAAGCACAAGATGTCAATAAGCACTTGATCTATCCGTCTTCCTGCCGATTGAAAAGGTGACAGGTTTCCATTCATGTCCCCGATCCTGTCTAGATTCATGATTGAACAGTCAAGCACGGTTCTATAATGTAACTCTCTCTCCTCATGTTCTGCATTGTTGATTTCCACCAATCACACAAGATCTGTGCAAGCATGCCTATAGATGAATCATCAATCACCATTCCCGCTAATGGAGCTTGC